GGATCTTGCTTGTTAGAACAGAGAGGTGCAATGTGACCAGCCTTGCTTCAGAGGATTTGTCCCCTGAACAATTAGAGGATAGAGAGCCTTGAGAGAAGGTAAACCGATAAAATCCATGTTTTGCTCATGTCATGTAAGATACCTGCTGTGGTACATCCTATCTCTGTGGTCGCAAACTTTGATTTCCTGTCTGAGGCAGAGCTTGTCAGGGACTCTGTGGTGATTTCTGTCTTTCCCCTTTCCTTTCTGAAGGAAAACAGAGGCTGATTTTCATTCTACAAAAGTAAGAGACCTCAAAGCGTGAAAGAGAAACCAAGGAAACCTGTGTCACACGTGTACATTTATACCCAGAGTGGCTGCAGGTATCCCCTGCTAAGAAATGATCAGCCTGCATGCTTGAGGAAATCCCAATGGTCAGGAGAGCAATAGAGTAAGGGTTGAAGGCAACAACCAGTTGGGACTCAGACATGGTCAGAGAGAAAGTATGCTCACAAAAGATGGGATTCTTAAAAATCCAGAGTGTCTTGCTATTTCAGATGGAAATCTCATGTTGAAATTCCTTACCACCGTAGGTCAACTTCCAAGGAGTGACCACCTCCGATGAAATATGTGTGACAACCTTGAAAACACTGGGTTGTTTGGAGCCATACAGAATATATACTATTGCAGAAAATTCAACACGTGGAAATTCTAAAACACTCCAGTGTTATCCACAAAAGTAAAATCATTTGTGAATAGTTTAAGAAAACCTAAAAAATAATGTTTAGAAAAATAAAAACATCATAGCTAAAAGTCTTTTATTCACAGTATTTACTCACAGCTTCCACAAACGTTAGAAATGTAACTCAAAATATCAAGAAAACTTGAACTCTAGAAACAGACCAGAGTCACATTGGAGACCATGCAAATTCTGATAACTGACATGGTGTTCATGATATTTTTTGTGACTGGAAATGAAAAAAAAAGAGAGGATGAGTTCAGAAGGGACACTCCGGCTTCTTCTTATTTTCTCCCAGCTGAACTTATAGATGTTGCTTTCACCCTATTTCACCTCAAGCTCAGGTAACATTTCAGACTCACTGCTGCCACGCCCAATAATTGTTGCCTAAGTCCTCAAGTTGTCTGGGCAACCAGCAGGGCTGGGAGTCTGAAGAAGCCCTTTGTCCACTGTCAGTGTCTCCCATCTCAGGCAGTGGCCACAGCAGAGTGTTTTAGCCTAGCTCCATCTAGGATGTTGTCTCTGAGCTGGAGCATGGGGCTGGTAGGAAGACCTGTGACCCTCAGGGCCCCCCTCTTGCTGGTTGCACTCTGGGTGCTGCTCCTGGTTCCAAGCCAGTGTTTTCAAGGCCGTCCTACATGGCGTTATATCTCATCAGAGGTGGCCACTCCTCGGAAGGTGACCTACCATGGCAAGGGTTTTCAAGTTCCAGGACGGCTCTCCTACAGCTTGCGGTTTAGAGGCCAGAGACATATCATCCACCTGCGAAGAAAGACTCTTGTTTGGCCCAGACACTTGCTCCTGACGACTCAGAACGACCAAGGAGCCCTACAGATGGATTATCCTTTTTTCCCTGTAGATTGTTACTATTCTGGCTTTCTGGAGGGGATCCCTTATTCCACGGTCACTGTGGATACTTGTTCTGGGGGCCTGAAAGGTGTCATGATGTTCGATGACCTTGCCTATGAAATCAATCCCCTCAGTGATTCACACAGGTTTGAGCACGTTATTTCTCAGATAGTAGCTGATTCGTCTACAGTGGGGCCAATGAATGACTGGAAGGACATGAAGCATAGCACGGAACCCTCCTTCTCTGGAACAAATTCCGGTGTAGCTCCCAGATTTTCTAGTAGAGACTATGCTTCCCATGCAGCTACTGTCAAAGGACATTTTCTGGCAACCTGGAAATTATATACTGTAGTCTACAATGTTACAAGGAGTTGCGTTTATTTGTTTTCGCTAGTTAGTTTAATGGACACTTATCTGAACAACATCCATGTACGATACTTTGTTATTGTTTTAACTGTGTTCAACCATGGAAATCCATTTCGAGCGAACTACAGAGTGCCAGGAGGTGATTTTCACAATTACTATCTGGCAAATTTTTATCACAGATTTAGACCTGACACATCAACTATAATTGAGTATGAGGGGGTGAATGATGAAGATGTCGTTCCTATTGCACGTGGTGTATGTACTCAGAATTCTTTAATCTGTATTGGTCAAAATCGCCGAGCGTATATATTTATGTCTATGATAGTAGCCAATCGTGTCGGGAGGGTTCTAGGTATAGAGTTTGATGATGAAAAACATTGTTTTTGCCAGAGGAGATCCACCTGCATCATGTTCAAGCATCCTATTCTAACAGATGCTTTCAGTAATTGTTCCATCGCTGACCTAAACTTCATAATCAATACCGCTGGCCAGGTGCAGTGTCTTTTCACTGATTTTACTACTTATTATAATAGAACAATAACCTATAGTGTTTGTGGTAACTTCAGAATAGATGAAAATGAGCAATGTGACTGTGGCTCAAACAAGGCTTGTTATACAAATCCGTGCTGTCAGAATGATTGCAGATTCTCAAGAGGTAGCATTTGTGATAAAGAAGCATGTTGTACAAACTGCACCTACAGTCCTTCTGGGACACTTTGCAGAAGCATCCAGAACATATGTGATCTTCCAGAGTATTGTAAAGGGAATGGAGTCCACTGCCCAAATGACTTTTATCTGCAAGATGGAACACCATGCTCAGAGGAGGGGTACTGCTATTCTGGGAACTGCACCGATCGCAATATCCATTGCAAGGAAATCTTTGGTGTCAATGCTATAGCGGGTCATGATAATTGCTACTCAATCAATAGGATAGGTTTCCGATTTGGATATTGTCATAGACAAAAAGAAGTCCTCTCGTTTACACGTTGTAGTGAAAACGATAAGAAGTGTGGAAGGTTACAGTGTACCAATGTCACCCACCTTCCACACTTGCAGGATCACGTTTCATTCCATCAGTCAATTATCTCGGGCTCTCACTGTTTTGGGGTCGACGAGCATCGTTCAACAGAAACAACAGATGTTGGTCGTGTGAGACTTGGCACTCGATGTACCAATACTAATTTCTGTGATCATGGGGCTTGCAATGGATCTTTAACTGACCTGAATTACGACTGTACTCCGCAAAAGTGCAACTTTAGAGGAGTATGCAATAATCTTCGGAATTGCCACTGTCATGTAGGTTGGGACCCTCCAAACTGCATAGGATATGGACCTGGAGGAAGTTTAGACAGTGGACCCCTTCCACTTAAAATGCGCACAATAAGACAGAGCCAACAAGCAGTGGTATACTTAAGAGTTGTTTTTGGTCGTATTTATGTCTTCATAGGCTCACTGCTCTTTGGGGTGGCTTTTAGAGTAGCAGTTACTAAGATTATCAAGTATGAAGACTTGCAAGCTGCATTACGTCAAGCACAATTGAATAGGGCAAGGTAAAATGAAGTTAGCCTTCTGGTCCCTGTGAAGTGAAGAGAAGAACAAAAGAAAACACTAGTATCAGTAAAGGGACATGTTAAAACTCAAGTCCACAGTTCTGAAGAGCCTGAGTCTTTTCTGGGGACACAGAAGGGTTTTGATGCTGTTACCACTCATCTTTGATAAGTTGCTGATACTCACATGGAATAAATCTTCAAAATTGCAAATTGGTGTCTTCTGTGCTTTTGGTCAGGCTTTAGGAGCTGCACTAAACTTGCTCCTTTGTTAGTAGTAGGAGACCTTGAGCCACGAATCCTGTAGGTCCTGGCTTTAGGTCTCTGGTCTGAAGATGAACGGAAGTTGTCTAAATCTCTTTTAAGAACGTATCTAGGGTGATTCTATAAAATGTGCTTCCTGAGCACTTACAGTTTCCCATCCCTTGTCATCATGTTTGTCCGTGGTCCTCTCTCCTGCAGCTTGTGGATAGCATTTCAGGGACACTGCTTAGAGGAATGGAGGGAGTGAAGGCAGACTTGGGATCCAGCCGAGGAAATGCTACAGGTCCACCTCATACTACTCGAGGAACTGATGTTAAGAACATCACCGTTAACACACATCCATCCTTCACTAAGTATACTATCCACACAGCCGTATGGAATCAGGCTTTCCACAGCCCTGCAGACAGGATATTGCAAAGAACACAGCCTGGGGGAGAGTGTGCTGAGTCTCAGGGAGGATGGCTTTGAGAGCACAGGACAGATGCTGGTGGCCTTGTCAGAGGAGCAACAGGTGACAACTGAAGTTCAAGGCATCGGCCCATGGAGGAGATTCTCTGATGGGTCAATCTTGGAGACGCCAGGCTCCAAGACCTCAGACTCCAGAATGTCTTTGTTTCCTCTGTGCCTTTACATGTTTGCTGCTGTCACCTGTCTCTGGTACCCTGAATGTTGTGAATGGGTGTGGGGAGGTCATCTCACAGAATCATCATGTGTTCCTGGGTATTCAGATGATTTTTTCTCAAGAGATCCTGTGTAAATGACAATAATAATGTTAGTTTAAATATGGTTTGACGACAAAAAATTAAAGGAAGTGTCACACAGGCACAATACATTTTTTTTATTGAGAATCCAAAGACATTATGGCTTCGGTTAATGATTAAGTAAAATGGTCTATAGTAGCCCAGCTAGTTTTTATTCTTCTAATTATGACTTTGGCAGATGTGTTCACAGGTTTTTCCTGCATCCTAGCTGAAATAAAGTTTCAAAATAGCTTCTTTTTGTGAAATGTCTTTGACCTTAATGTCTAAGCCGGTTGTGGTGGCACATGCCGGTAGGATTTGCTGAAAGAGGCAGAGGCAGGAGGATCACGAGAAGACAACCTATCGTTTTAGAAGGACTCATAGTTGAATAAGGGGATGCTTAAAGTCAGGAATTAAGAACAGAGCAGCCCAATTATCATTGGCTGATTTACTTTCTTGCTAGGATTGGTTGATGACCAAAGGTGATTAATTCTTTATACCCAATTCAGCCCTCAATCTCCTGATATGAGGAAACTATACATGAGGGAGTGTGTACCCTAAAGATTTAAAGGAGCAATGACTGATTCTTTTTCATGTTGAAGTTTAAATTTCTGATTCCTTTAAGTTTGTTACTATGGTTACCTTGCAAGATAAGAAACACAGTGATTGGTCCTTTCTATGTAACCACAAAATGCAGCCTGACAGTAAAGAAATTCTTGTGGACTGTCCGTATTAGCCCCACGTTAGGTAACATTTCTCATGAACTGATATCTTTCTGGCTGCAGTTGGAACCATCTGGATGCCCCCGGGGTCACTCTGAGTGGAGGAGTGTGGACACATGAAAGCTCACCCTCCGGTGAAGTTATAGAAGAGATGGAGACATCTGATCATACCAGGAGATCATTCAGTTAATACTGAAGCCCACGGTTTATTGATCCATTGTTTTAAGTAACCATCCAAAGGTGGGAGCAATGGCAGATGACATCAATTATCATTCGTGAAGGGCTGATGACAGTTATTTCTCTAAGTCCTAGAAGCACTTCTCTGCTGCATGTACTCAAGCCTTCAGGCACTTTCACCCCAGCACATCTCTGTAGCCTTCAGGGTGGTTATAGACTCTCCCCAGCGGCCCAAGGCTACTGAAATTCAGAACCGCGAGAGAGGAGCAGGCCGAGCCTCTGCCAAGAAGCTGCTGCCACAGCCTGCTGCAGCCTCTGCCGCCAAGGATGCAAAGAGGACCTTGTTCCCTGCCGCAGCACCCCGGCCATCTGCTGCCTGATTCCCTTGCCGATTAGTTCTGCCTTGCACCGCCTTAGCACCTACCAGAGCCACTGCGAGCTCCGCTGCTGCTATGCAGCGAAAACGCCTTCCCAAATCTGTTCTTAAGTTTTCACTGGTTCCTTGGGGAGCATCCGATTTTCCGCGGAGAGGCAGTGTTTGGCAGTATGCCTGCGCTTTCTGCTGGCCAAGTACGGTAACTACAGGTATTTTAATTTGAGACAATAAAGGAGATGATTTTTTTCCAATTTAGGAATCACCAATTGATGGTAAGAACATCTAATTATAACATGGCAGGTAATTTAACACTGCAGGATTTTAGAGATTTCGTTACCAATGTGATGGATTATGCAGTAAAAGACAATTATGATATTTTTCATACGTATATGTGTGCCATGCTTGTGATTAGTGTATTAATACATGTAATCACATGGAAGAAACATGAGCTTATGATTCAAAAATTAGAGTCAAAAATTCAGGAACAAGTGGATTTGGTTACATTTAATTCTATGTCTACTGCATTTATGGTTAAGACTGAGTCTAACCAGGTGGAACTTTCTAAATTAGCAGAGTCAATTCAAAAGTTAGAGTCAAAAATTCAGGAACAAGGGGATTTGGTCAAATTTGACCAGGACAACCTTCGAGACACATTCAATTCGATGTCCACTACATTTATGGCTAAGATGGAATCTAGCCAGGAGGAATTTTCAAAATTAGCAGGGTCAATTCAATCTATGCCTGATAATAATGGCAATCTAGTGGACCGAATGTGTTTTCTGGAAGGAAAAGTAGGTAAATAAACGAAATATGGCTACTAGACATCCTAAGGTGGCCTTTCCAGTAACCATGGTAGAAAGGCCACCATCACAGAGGAACCAATCTGGTTCCACTACACATAAATTGGAACCTATTACCATGAAAGAAATGAAAGCTATAAAGCAAGCGATAATGGCTTTTGGGGTCCACAGCCCTTATGTAAACAGTTACTAAACAAATGGGCTACTACCAATAAGATAACTCCCACAGATTGGAATGATTTAATATCTGCAGTGTTGGACCAGTCTTCCCAAATACAGTGGAAAGCTTTGTGGAGACAGGAAGCCAAGGCCCTTGAACTTCAAGGTTTGAAGGATGGCTTTGAAGCTTCTGAAAGTAAGATTATTGGGGAGAAGCAATTTTCTGACCCGCAGGTCCAAGCTGGTTATGATGAGCGTACATTTGTTTTATGCAAAACAGCAGCACTAAATGCTTTGGATAAGGTTCATGAATCAAGGGAAAGAGTTGAATCATATTCAAAAGTGATACAGGGTCTGAGAGAAAGATTCTCTGAATTCTTATAAAGATTATCCAGAGCAGTAGATTTACAAATAACTGATCCTAATGTTAGGTGACTTCTTACAGAAACCTTGGCTTATGAGAATGCAAACCCACATTACAAACAGATATTGTGGCCATTAAAGGTAAGATCAGCACCATTGGAGGAATGGGTCTTATATACAGCTAATGTTGAGTATGGCAATCCAGAGGCAGGAACCTGGATAGGAGAAGCCATTTCTAAAGGATTTAGGAGGAATCAGGATGAAATATGGCCTACCCAAGAGGAGATACCAAATTGGGTTGGGGAAGCAATCTTTAGAAGTTTCAAAAGACATCGAAACTTTAGATGTTTTAATTGTGGTAAAATAGGACATCTGAGTAGGAACTGTAGACAACGCATTCCGAGGAATAATGCTTCTACCAGGAATGCGCCAAACAGAAGGCCTCAGCCACCTGGTCTCTGCAGGAGGTGTCGAAAGGGCAGTCCAAAACTGGACTGTATTCTGGTTATTTTGCCATCTAGAGAATACCCCTCAGGAATATTAATGCAGAGGGAAGACATCATACTAGAATGGGTATATCTGCCACATAATCACAATAAAAATTGAAAACGTATATAGAAAAGATCTCTGATTTGATATTAAAAGGTAATTTAAGGCTTCATCAACTGACTGAGAAAGACCCAGCTAAAATTATTGTACCTTTAACAAATGATGAAATTTCCTCCTTATGGAAGGATAATGAGTATTGGCAAATAGCTTGCAGTGACTTTTTGGGAACTATTAGTAATAACTATCCCAAAACAGAGACAATCAAATTCATAAAGAAAACAATTTGGATTCTTCCACGTATCGTGAGACAAACACCTATTTCTGGCGTTCTTACCTTCTACACGGATGCAAACAAATCAGGTAAGGCAGGGTATAAATCAGGAAATATAAGTAAAGTAGTAGAAAGCCCTTTCAACTCTGTATAAAAGGCAGAGTTATATGCCATTCTCATGGTACTTAAAGACTTTACAGAGCCTCTCAATATAGTCACAGATTCAGTATGCAGAAAGAGTTGTCTTGCACATTGAGCCTGCAGAATTTGTTCCTGATAGTACAGAATTAACCTCATTATTTTTACAATTACAGGAAACCATCAGAAACAGGACTCATCCTATATATATAACGCACATCAGATCCCATACAGGTCTGCCAGGTCCTCTGGCACAAGGCAATGATGAAATTGATCGTTTATTAGTAGGTAATCTGTTGGAAGCTTCAGAATTTCATAAGAAACACCATGTTAACAGCAAAGACTTAAAGAAGGATTTTTCTATCACCTGGCAACAAGCCAAAGAAATAGTAAAAAATTGCCCCAGTTGCTCATTCTACAATCAAACTCCATTACCAGCAGGTTGTAATCCTAAAGGTATTCACAGAAATGAACTTTTACAAATGGATGTATTTCACTTCCCAGAATTTGGCAGTTTAAAATATGTACACCATACCATAGACAAGTTCTCAGGATTCCAATGGGCTACTGCCCTCATCTCTGAAAAGGCTGACTCTGTTATTACACACCTCTTAGAGGTGATGGCTGTTATGGGTATATCTAAAACGATAAAAA